CGTAAAGGAAAAAACGCGGAGCAGGTTGCTAAAAAGTTACGAGATGTGTATGGTGATGAAGTCTTAAAAGGAAGACAGTGTCAAAATTGGTTTCGCAAATTCCGTTCTGGAGATTTTTCACTTGATGATGAAGATGAGCCACGTTCAGGTCGGCCAAATGAAGTTGATGATGACCAAATCAAAGCATTAATCAAATCGGATCGTCTTGTAACTGAGCGTGAGATCGGAGAGAAGTTAAATATACCAAAATCAACCGTTCATTATCACATAAAAAGTCTTGGACTGGTGAAAAAGCTTGATATTTGGGTACCACATGTATTGAAAAAAATTTATTTAACACACCGAATCAACGCTTGTGATATGCACCTTAAACGCAATGAATTCGATCCGTTTTTAAAACGAATCATAACTGGAGATGAAAAATGGTTTGTTTACAACAACGTTAGTCGAAAACGATCATGGTCCAAGCATGGTGAACCAGCTCAAACCACTTCAAAGGCTGATATCCACCAAAAGAAGGTTATGCTGTCTGTTTGGTGAAATTGGAAGGGTGTCGTACATTTTGAGCTGCTTTCAAGGAACCAAACGATTAATTCGGATGTTCACTGTCAACAATTGGACAAATTGAATACTGCCATCAAGGAGAAGCGACCAGAATTGGTCAATCGTAAAGGTGTCATATTCCATCAAGACAACGCCAGACCGCACACATCTTTGGTCACTCGCACTTGGTTCAGTTTTTTTCAGATAAAGGCCAGAAGTTCTATGAGCGTGGAATACTAAATTTGCCAGGAAGATGGCAAAAAGTTATCGAACAAAATAGCAATTATATATTTAATTAAAGTTCATTCTAAGTTTTATTAAAAATGCATTTACTTTCTTTTAAAAAATTCGCAATTACTTTTTGGGCAACCCAATATGTATGCACGCACTCGTATACGTGATTTGGTGAATGAAAATTTTTTTCAAGTGTCACTATGTCATTACTTATGTACATATATATGTATGAGTATTTAAGCATGAAATTAATGCGTCTGCACTTCTACAATACAGACATACAAATCTAGTTAAGTTTTTTTTTCTTAATTAATTTATATATATTTTTTATGAAATATTTTCGATACGAAATTTATGGGACAGTTTAGACCCCAATGGAGCGTTTATAGCCATACATACTTGTATATGTTTGTATGTATGTATTTAAATGCGCTCATAAAAAGTTTACGGTTAGCTTGATATTTTTTTATTGCATTTCAAAAATGTCTAAGTATGCAGATACGTACCGTAGCCACTTTAGTCGAAATACCCAAAATACCCACTTGTAGGCGGCATTAAGTTCTACTCGAATCTGACACTTCCAACGATAATCATAAATTAAGATTATATACTACTCATGTGTATTATTATTTCGTACATAACATATTATTTCAAAAGCGTAAAAAAATCGCATTTCCCCTATATATTTTTTTTTACGTTTAAAGTGCTGAGTGGATCTAAATTAAATTATTAAATTAAATTCTCGTTGCCTTCCGTGCAGTACCACAAATCATTTCATTCGATTGGGACGTATTGTAGATTTACAGTTGGTTAAATTCTTAATAAATTTAATATGACCGTTGAGTCTGCACCCGATCCAACAACTGCAACAACGTCACAATCCAACGAGACTTCAAAAGGGTGTGTAGTGTTTGTGCTTTGAAATGCTTTGAAATGCGGTTTTATGGAAAGTGTTTTTTTTTTTGACATAACAAAGAAATGTGTAACGGTTATTGAATTTGAAAAATAAGTGCTATTTGTAGTTCTTTCATGCCTTAAAAAAGCGTACAAATATTTTTTAATTAATTATTCCTTACTGATCATACAAAAAATGACAAAATTAAAATAATATTAAATCAAAATTAAGAAATGAAATTGAAAAGCAGACTTTTAGACAACTGAAAATTGTTAGGAAAATTAAGTAAAGAAAGACAGCATTATGCTCCCCCTGTTCTATAACTGGAACTAAAGGGTGTTTTTTAGACACATGGTTTTCAAGCAGGTATCAAACGCATAGAATTTTAACTTATGACAAAGATTTTAGCTTTATTATATTGATAAGAATGAGCAATTTTTTTTTGAAAAGATTTCGGGCAAGTGACCACCGTGAATGGCTCGAATAAGTTCCAGCCGAGAACTCCAATTTTCGACCACATTTTCCAGCAATTAAAGTCGCATTCCCTTCCTCAATGTCAGTCGTCTTATGTTTATTGGCGTTGACAAGCGACTTCACTTAACCACACAAAAAATTGTCTAGTGGTGTTATATATATATAATATATACTATATGTATGTATATATTTGGTGCTTTGTAACCGCGGGAGCGAGCGGCCGAGTTCCTTCTCCAATTTGTGGTTTTGCGACTTCTACCGCTCTGAAGATGATATTCACAAGCTAGTTAAAGTGGAATCGGCTGAGTGCAGAGCATCATGCATGGAAGATGACAAAAGAAAGCGGGACACTACATTTATGTGTGTCCGGCCTTTAGCCATTTGAGACGTCACTTCTTTCACTATGCTCCCCAGCTCCAACTTTATCGATGTGGATGGGTACATATAAGGATAATGCGACTAGAAGTTCCTTCTATGATCGCTACTTTTGCCTCGATGTTAGAAACTTTAGTAGGCAATTTTAATGCCAGCGCTGATTATACTTTTAGAACCAAAGTCTGGTTATATAGCTTTATCGTCGAAACCCTTTTAAATGGACTAATAATGATTGACTACAGCTGTGCTCGAATTGTGGTTGTGTGCTTCAGTAGAGGAAATTCCATCAAACTATGTACACGTCTGTTTCCAGATGGAAAATCTCATAACAGAAGTCGCAGTAAAGAACCTGGACAAATAAATACTTGTCATGAAAAGATGCAATTACAAGAAACAGTTAAGCCCACTCGACAAGCAATCCTGTTATCTGTGAACACTCTTCAACAACTCAACTTCTAGCGAATTAAGAGACCGCAAACATGTCTCTCGATGGATAAAAACACCCTTTGATAGTTTTCGGTACAACCGAAGAGGGATATCTGAGTTCGCAGCAAAAATGGAAACAACTGATGAAGTATTGCTGGCTGGCTGAAAATTCAAGTGAAACCGCAATCGTTCTAATATGTATGTACAACACCACCCAATAACAGATCAAATTCCTCTGTGTTGCTGCGGTCCAAGAAACGAGTTGTTTCGATGGGCTTGGACCAGTGGAAGAAGGATGTTGGTTGAATAAATTTTAGTAGGCATGAAAATGTCGTTAGTGTCCTCAGGGAAGAAGGTGGGGTACTGAAACTACTATAATATTCAGACCTTATTGCACCAACATTGCTCCAGTCTCCCAAGGCAGTTCCGGATCTTCGTCTGTTGTTTAGTCATCCCAGCCGTCGACTCTGTTATGTCCTGCTGATTGGAGTCCATAAAATCAAGTACTATCTTAGCGATGTGAATAGGTGATGGTTCGGCTTCTGCAAGGTTGGTCTCTACGCTAGAATTGCTAAGGAAGAGGCGCACGGAGTGATGCTTTAACAGAAACACTTCATGTGCATTTCGCTACTTCCGGGTGTCCAAATCGATATGGCCAGTTGTTGTCTGCTAGTGAATTGCGGATTTTATTGCGGGTCTGGGCTGTGGTATCAATCGCAGTCGTATGTGAAGTGCTGAGCATGGTATAAGAACCTCACTGACTTTCACTTTCAGTTTGAGCCAGTACTCCTTCGGCCAGCTGGTAATCGGGTAGCCGACGTTGTTTCCTGTTTGAAGTTGTAGTTGTCGTGTAGTCTTCTCCTCAGGTCGTTTGGATAGGACACTTCTTTAAGTTCATTTAGAAGAAAAGTGCTATGTAGTTCCCGGACTTTACACCATATATGTATGAGGGGATTAGTAAAAGTTCGTTCAGTTGGTGACTTTCAATTTGTTTTTGTTCAAACTAAAAATTCCTTTGCAATTACTACTAGTCTTCGTTTAAAATTTTAGAACGAGTGGCTAAAATGGAGACGAGAAAATGGAAGATAGCTGAGAATAGGTCAGACGAAATTCCAGCACCAACGCAAACAGAAATTCGCCATGTGATTCTCTTCGGGTTGCGGTGTAATTTTCAACCAATATAAATATTCAGTGAATATAGAACTTTTGCACCGTTTTTAAAGACTATTTCTAAGTGGTTCCGAAGATTCCAGACCGGACATTTTTCCGTAGAGGACGAGTACCCATATGGTCGACCAAAATCTTCCACTGGTGACGTATAGCTCTGGTGAAGTCCATTGACGAAGACCCACGATTGAATCTGTTGGAATTTAGTAAAGTTGTTACTGGTGACGAATCTGAGAAAAATTAGTAGTGAGAGTAATGATGTCAGTTTCCTTCCCCGATCTGAAATAGTAACTGCTATACCACTGGAAAAGGGTCAGGGGTAACTGGAAAATGGCCAAAACGAAGAGAGCTTCACAAATTTGATGGAAAACAGGAAGAAAGAGGATATGTGGCGCTCCTTTTTACATCATGACAAAGCTACATCCCACCCTCTGAAATAACGAATAATTTTAGTGCGATCTCTGGGTTCTAAGAAATACGTCCAGCACCATATTCCCAGGATAAAGCACCTTGCGATTTAAGGTTATTTCTAAAAATTAAAAAAAAAAACATAAAAGGAACAAGGAGATAATTAATGCGGTTAATGCTGAACTTGGTAAGCTTAAAGAGCAAGATTTTGAAGACAGTTTCAGAAGTGGATCTGTAGGCTTAAGAAATGCATTGAAATCAATGACGATTATAATTAAAAAAGGACAAAAGTTACCAATAAATACAAAAAGAATTTTTTTCTGGTCAACTTACCGAACTTTTGTTAATCCCCTCGTATATGTGAAAAAAAATATATTATTATTAATTATTATTATTTTTTTTAATTATGATATTGAAAATGTGTCTATATTTACATAAAAATATTTCATTTAATTTACCCCTCTTTTTTCCATTTCAGTTGCTTCGACAAATTGAAAATGAAGGTCAGTACATTGGATAAAATCTGCAGCTTTCTCGGTGAGCTCATCGGCACGGGCCTCCTCGTCTTCCTCGGCTGTATGGGTTGCGTGAAGAACAATGCCTACGAGAATAATCACTTTCAAATGACATTCAATTTCGGTTTGGTTGTCATGGTGATTATACAATGTTTCGGCTGCGTCTCTGGTGCACACTTAAATCCGGCTGTGACCTTGGCTGCTTTAATTTACGAAATGATTTCCCTACCAATGGCTGCTATCTACTTTGTCGGTCAAATGTTGGGCGGTTTCATTGGTTATGGCCTGTTGAAGGCACTCATACCGGAGAATGCTGTCTCGTTGGACGGAGCTAGTCTGTGTGTGACCACGGTGCACAAGGATATCACCGTTTGGCAGGGTTGTGCCATTGAATTCATCATTACGGGTGTGTTGATTTTCACCTGCTGCGGTGTATGGGATCCACGTAATGCCAAATTCCATGACTCTGTGCCGATTCGTTTCGGTTTGGCCATCTCGTGTCTGGCTATCACAGCGGTATGTAGTACAGACATAGTCGTATATAAAATTATCGATTTGAAAACTAATGTTTTGTTCTATTATCTTCAGGGTCAATTCACAGGCGCCAGCATGAATCCAGCCAGATCCTTCGCACCCGCTCTATGGAACACTGAATTTGCAGGCCACTGGATTTACTGGGTCGGTCCCATGACAAGTGCCGCTATTTGTGCGCTGGTCTATAAGGTGATCTTCCGCCGTGAAGTAGTCGAGGAGAAGGTCCACAATAAACTGCGTGCCATGGAGGAGGTGCCGCTGTCATAAGTGGCGACGAGATCACTCGAAATACCAAAGAGCGATTAGAAACAAAAAAGCAAACCAATCGACATCTTAACGAATGTTACAGAACAAAAACAATACGAACTTCTTGAGTGATAAATATTTTAATGTGGATTTTTCAATATTTACTCATTTCGGAGGCGCATTTAACGGTCTGCAAAGCAGATTGAATTTACTTTCATATTTTTTTATGTTTACCATATTTGTTTCGAAAAACTTTTTAAGCTGTATTTTTTGCCAAAAACAGAGGGGGAAAATGTTTATAGCTAAGCTAAAAAGTGTTCGATACAGTTGTTGCCGATTAATTGAAGAATTGTTGTAAATATACCCATGTATGTATGTAAATTTATTAAAAGATTTGATACAATAAAGAAAATTAAAATAGAAAAAAATTTAAAAAATTTTTTTTTTTTCAAAATTTTTGAAATTGGAATAAAAAAAAATTATTTTATAATTGAAAAGTTCCCGTGAATATTTGTATATTTTCGAATCAAATTTTTCTCTATTAAAACTTAATTTCAAACAAGTAAAGGGTGGTTTTCGAATGTGTTTCGGGTGTTTCGGAGTGTTTTTTTCTGACAGCTGTTACTTGATTTACGCTCAGTTACAACATTCAACAGATGGAGCCAATTTAATACCAAAAAAAAAATGGTTCGGTTGGCGCGATGCGTCCAACAGAGTCGGTAATTCGAGCAACGATGGATCCATTTACTCGAGATGGAAATGCGTATCCTAAGAGACACCGTACAGGGCGCACGGACGATGCTATTGCTTCTGTAGAGCAGAGTATCTAAGCCCGAAAGAGTCCATCCTCCAACAACAACTAGAGCTGTATCCATTCACTTTGTGCAAAATTTTGCGGAAGGTTCATGATGTGCGGACATACAAAATCCAACTTGTGTAAGAATTGAGCTGAACAACTTTCATGCACGTCACACGTTCGGTGAATGGGGACGAAAAGAGAAGGTCCCTGACTTTTGGTTGCACCGTCAAAATTGTCGCATTTGGAGTGATGATAATCCACAAGACATTGTTAAGACACCGATACAACATCAAAAAGTCACTGTTTGGGCAGAGAGAATCATTGGTCTATATATATTCAAAAATAAAGCCGGTAATGATGTTACAAAAAGTGGCCAATGGGGAACGCTATAGAACTATGATTAAAGACTTGTCCGTGCCTGAATTGGGTGATATTGGTGTGGACGTACTTTGGTTCCAAAAAGACATACAGCCAATTAGATTATCAATTTATTTAAGAAAATTTTTGATGAGGACATTATCCTACGTCCGGCGCTTGTAGCGTGGTCTCCAAGATCATGCGATGGAACACCGATGGACTATTTTTTTCGATTATAGCCGAATCAACAATGGCGTACCATTCGTTCTTTTTCTTCGCTGTTTGATGCCAATTGGAAATACCAAGTGAAACTAGGTCGCTCTCAACCTGATCCTTCCTACAGAGTGAAGGTTTCCTCTTCCTCAGCATCGATAAACGTTTCTGTGTCGCTTTCTGTAATACTCCTGAATATTCGTTTTCAGTTATTATTTGTAATTATACTTAAAAATTTAACTTCACCAAGAGTGGCAGCACAGCTTAGCCTTAAACTGTGTACAACTGACATCCAGATGGCGCTGTGTTTGCTTCTTATTATGTTTTCATACCGGAAATTTTGTGGTTTCGTTGTCTTTTATTTTATTTATTTATTCCATTAAAATAGTAGACATCATTTTATTATTTATTCACTTGTGATTGTGTGGAGAAGGTAAGATTTTGTTTTTGGTGTAAATTCACAAGTTTTATCAAATAAATTAAGTTCAATTTCTCTGAGTTAAATATTAATTAAAAATTAAACCTAAACTGATAGTCATATTTACCTTTTCCATACTCAGCTTTCTTCACATCCGGTACCATTTTTACCATAAAACATTTAAATGCAACCCTGTCTACTTCCTGCTTCTTTGCTTAAGTAAATGCATAGTTTTCGCGCGACGCTCGCTGAGCTCAAACGGATGTGCCAAACGGATGTGCTCTATCAAACTATATTGAATTATACAAATACAGTTTCTGAATAATCGCAATTTAAGAAAAGTATGTGTGCTTTCTTTTAAAAAGAAAAAACTCTTAATTAAATAGTGAAAGTTAAAAAGATATAAAATTTGAGAGAAAACTCTCAGCGAAAATCGTGTCCGGCTGTGCAAAAGTCGCGGAAACTTTTAATATTTTGCCACTCTTTGGTACTCTTTTCATTCTGATTACGAGTTTAAATAAGTAGACAAGTGAAATGCACCCAGAAGATTGTAAAATACAAAGTATTTAGCTGTGCATGTCAGTCTCTTTCGCGCCTACAAAATGACTTCGGATGGATCAAAGATTGTGTGCCAGTGAGCAGTGAGATTACGAGTATATGATTCGAGCAACGAGTTTTGCAAAGACGCAAGAAAAGGAAGATATTTTTACATTTCGTCACCTACACCGGTAAGTTGTTTTGATGTGCAAAAAGGGACAAGCGGAAGGAAAACGGGCGATAATTTGTAAAATATATTTCTTAAGTAGTAATATGGAGATTTTGAGCAGAGCACAAGTTCAATTGTGGTATAACCGGTTTACGGAAAGCCGAGAATATGTCAATAACAATGCTCGTCCTAGTCGCCCAAGCACGTTGAAACATTGAAACAGTGAAGAAAATAATTTTGGATAAACGTCGAATCACTATCAGAGAGGTCGTATAGTCAATAAGGAATACTAACTAGAAGTTATGCGCAGTTTGTGCGTAGCAATGCGTCAGAACGGACGGAATTGTGGAAAAAACAATCATGGATTATGCACCGTGATTACGTACCAGCTCTCAGATCGACGCTTGTACGTGAGTTTTTGGCCATAAACTAAACCGTTATCGTGTCTCAACAACCGTATTCACGAGACTAGGCCTCCGCTGACTATTTCCTCTTCCCAAAACGGAAGACACCGATGAAAGGAAAACGGTGATTCGATTGAGGAGATAAAAGAAAAATCGAAACAGGAGCTACTGGCCAAATAACGTATTTCAGCAATGTTTCGAGGATTGGAAAAAAGCGGGCATTATCGTATTATATCTAAGGGGGATTACTTTGAAAGGGACAAGATAGTTAGTGGTGAAAAAGAAAATACTTTTTGACAAAATTGGAAATAACGGTTATTTTCATATCGCCCTTCGTATAAGAGATGGGGAATATATTATTTGTTAGTGTTAATTAGAAATTTAAATTAATTTAAAAAAATCTTTTAATTAGCTTAATATTTTGGCATAATTAGATAATTCAAAACAAATAATTTTTTATTAAAAAGTTTATTTTCTTTAGTGCAATAATATTTAATAAATCCAATATTCAAAAACTATTATTTTCTGGAAAGTCCCATCTTACCGTAGAACACACCCTCCAACTTTATGTGGTTTTAGCTGTGGGTTGGTTTGTCAATTATTCGAAACAAAGCCTTATAAAATAGGTATTTTTTTTAAACACTTTATTATAAAAACGGGTACGCCATTATGTTTTAAATATAATTTCGGACAAGTGGCCGCCGCGGCTGGTTTGAATAAATCTCGGCGGAAAATCTCTTGTTTTGACCACTTTTTGCTGCATTTGGCGCCGTATTTTAGCAATAATGTTCCGGATATTCTCGCCTGAAAACATTCTATGTAGACAATCGGATTCTAAAAATAGGCCAGCAGCGTTAAATCGCACGATCTGAGAGGACACGCTACAGGTTAACGACGCGTGATATGCGCTATAATGTGGAGTCAAAAGTTTACATCAATAAATTCATTGTTTCGTTAGATGCACGACATGTTGAGATTAAAAGGTCGTCCACCCCACTTCAAGCACGAAAATGTCATTAATCAGGACTCCATAACGTTCCCCCGGCTTCATTTTTGAAGAAATATGGACCAATGATTCCCTCTATCAATGGAATACACCAACCATGCGTCTTAACAATGGCTCATGGTGGTCACTTTCCAGAGATCATTTTGAAAACAAAATTGCAGACCCTAATCTTTGTAGTAAAGCGAAATTCTCGAACATAACATCAAGTCATGCGTTGAAAACTACATGTCGCAACAAGCAGCCTTTATTAAATACAAAAGCCATTTTTTCTAAAATCGTAAAATTAAATTTAAATTTATTTTAAAATCCTTTTTACAAACTTAAAATTTATTTTAATCTAACTTCCCTGCGCTTATACTAGTTAAGAAATATTAAATACCATCTACTAAATTCACCTACGAAATTATAATAATATTGTATAAGTTTACATATGCATGTGCCAACATATTCATACGCTTGTTTACATATATGTACATATATATAGTATATAATAATGGGCCGTGAGCACTTGCCATTATTACCCTAAGTGAATTAAATATATTTTCAAACATACATATACTATGTGTAAATACCAAACTGGATGGATTACGATCACAATCAATTAAATATAAAATGTAAAATTAAAATAAAAATATAGAATTATAGACAATGAAAATCTGAAAAACCAAGCGTATACGCATACTGAATATACGCGGTTTTCAGTTTTTGTCGAACAAAAGAGCCTTTCCACCATACAATAGCCAGAAAGAAACATAATATTTACAACATTACTATAATAATTCATATTCTACACCGCTAAGTAATTGGTGGCGCAATCAAAGACACTTCTGCTTGCTGCCACGTTTCAACATCAAACTGGACCAATTGCAGTAGGGCATTTCGAAAGCCAGCGAAAAGACCACTGAGGCGAGATAAACGATAACAACAAAGCCGGATGTGAGAACGCACTGGAAATAAATGAAAAAATAAATATTTGTTAAAAATTAAATTTAAAAAAATTAAACACAAATAGTGTAACAAATCCTTTGACCAACTGTGAAAAATCGTCCAAAAAGTATGCCGAAACCAGTTAAAATGCTGAAGCAAATATGATTTCTGAGGCATCGTTTTAGGCGCATTACTTGTCACATTTGTGAGGATTTATTTTTTGTGAAAATCATCCGAATAGTTGTTTGATTTTTTCTTTCAACTCACCAACATCAGCGGATCCGCATGCGTACTTGCATTCGTCAGACTAAAGAAGAACGCAATTACGAAGGGATTCAACAAATAAATGGCATATGACACCCGATTAATGTGTTGGAAGACCTTTGCCTCTAAAATTCGCGACCACCAAACACCTCTGCCCGTCGCACTGCCAACAATCATCCAACATACGCTGAGTGAGAAGAGCAAACGTCCGATAATGAAAAGAGAAATCGCCGACAGCACAGACATATCACGCTTGATGGTCGAATAGATGCAGGAGAAGAATACCAAAATGGCTAAGTTCCATATGCATTTCTCCTTGAGCTCGCTAATGTCGATTTTCATTTGATTTTGCAATATATACCAAGCCGTCGCAGCACCCAACACGTAAGGCAGAACGCGTACGAAAGGACTTATGTAGATCTCAGTGCCTGTGGCAAAGGCCGAGTCAAAGGACAATTGAAATTTTGCGCCCAAGCCAATGGAGTAACTCCACATTATAGTGCCAACAAATATGGCCGCCGTGAAGCCTTTGACCAAGCGTGGATTTCTGAAATAATTAATGATAATGGAACTTTATTTAATATAATTTAACCCAATATAACAAATAACAAACAAAAACAAAAAAAATAAAATAAGTTAATAATTAATTAACTAATAAAAATTATAATAATTAAAAGATAAAATAATAAAATAGAAAATAAATTAATATAAATAAAAAAAAATAAAATATAAAAAATAAAATAAAATAAAATAAAATAAAATAAAAAAAATAAAATAAAATAAAATAAAATAAAATAAAATAAAATAAATTAAAATAAAATCAAATAAAAATATTAAATAATTAAACTATCAAAAAAATAAAATAAAAATAAAAAAATTATAAAGAAAAATATAATAAAATAATTTAAAATTAAAATGAAATATAATAATACAAAATAAAAAAAATAAAACAAATAAAAATGTAAAAATGAAATAATTTTCAATAAAATTGGAAAAAAGTTAAGTAAAATACAATAAATAATAAAAATACAATAAATAAGCGATACAAATTGCAATAAAATAACTTTAGTTTAACGAAAACTAAAGAATAAATAAAATGAAATATTGTAACTCACTTGGCATAGGTAAATAGCAAAATCGTCGCTAAAACGAAATACTGCATTTCACACGCCAACGACCAGGTCCAATTCAGACACATATCATTGTGACTGAATAGATTTTGTATGAAGAGTAAATTACGCCACCAATATTGTGCACATTTCTCATCGAACCGTTCGCTGATGTGATAAACCGAGACGTCTGCGATATAGGCGTAGAATAGGTCCACTGTACCCATCATAACGAGATAGAGTGGTCCGAGTCTGAAAAGATGAAAATTTTAGCTCTCTTATTTACTTTTAAAAATATATCAGGTGTACAACTTTGCTTCCGCCGTTTTCCGATACGTGGCTGTACCGGCTGAGGCTGGTTGAAATACATAGATGATAATGCCATTAAAGTGAGTGTGGACAGTGCCTAACGAATTGTCATCGCCGTTTCAGTGACAGTTGTTCTTGTTTTCGTATTATTCACGCTCGAAAATGTCCGTTTATGTGCCTAATTCTCGCCATTTGCGGGAAGTTTTACTTTTCTCGTACAATTCGAAAAAAAATGCAGCTGAAGCGCATCGATTGCTCTCAGAAACTTACGGCGATGCTGCTCTGAGTGGAAGAACGTGTCGGGAGTAGTTTCAACGTTTTAAAAATGGTGATTTCGTTATCGAAGACAAACATGGTGGTGGAAGAGAAAAAGCCTTCAAAGATTTACTACGAGCTCTTAAAGCCGGGTGAAACCATCACAGGAGATCGCTACCGAACGCAACTGATGCGTCTTAGTCGCACGCTAAAAGAAAAGCGGCCACAATATCAAGAGCGACATGACAAAGTCATCCTCCAACACGACAGTGCTCGGCCTCACGTCGCAAAAGTGGTCAAAAAGTACCTGGAAACGCTGAAATGGGAAGTCTTGCTCCACCCGCCGTATGCCCCAGATGTCGCCCCTTCTGACTTCTACCTATTCCGTTCGAAGAATTGGAAAAATGGATTGCTTCATGGATAGCGTCAAAAGAGGACTCCTTTTTTCGAGTTGTCTCTAGCGAAGACAATACTTTGAATAATATATCGGTAAGCACTTCTTCGCAATAAAGCTTTTAATTTTGGAAAAAAAAACAGCGGAAGCAAAGTTGTTATTATTTTAATAATAAAAGTCGACCTACAGACTCTTCTAGGATTGAGAATACAATTTTACAATTGCACAATTTCAATTGAAAGACAGTCAAAATTGTTGATAAAAAGCTCGGAGCTTTTTTTATTTCATGTCGGAAATTCTCTCGGATGGGTTGACATTTCCTGTCGGGAGGCGACAGCAAAAACAATACATGAATTAAAAATTTAGGCAATCGACGCTTTGTAGAATCTTAAACTTGGATATCAAAGTTCTGCGAAGTGAGAATTAGTTTGGGATTCCTTGTAAGCGATGTTGGTGAAGAACTACCCTCATCGGTTGACTATCCCATTTAACGTAACGGCCTAAAAATATGTCTACGAAGTTCTTTTTATAACATACCTGAGGTAGCGATGGAAGAGCATCTTGAAGAACTGCTTGACGTTTTGCATTAAATTATTTGAACGGATCGTCTCCAGTTGCTTGACATTTCGCATGAAGTTGTAGGTCTGTAGGAAACCACTGCAAAAAATCAAAGCATTATTATATGCTGATTAGAAAAAAGAATGACAAAGAGGCTCCAGACACCCACCTTATAGTGAAGAAGACATCCACTAGGAGCGGCGCAGAGCTGACATATTGAAAGAAAATACGCTCAGCGTAAGAAATAAGGAAGGCCTTATTATTCACCGTAAAATACATATACCAAGTCACATGGAACAACACAATCCAAATTGCAGAAACGGAACGCAAACCATTGATGACCGGGATCTCCCGCGTGACACATTGCTTCAGTGTAAACATTTTGTCATAATTATCGATGACATCAAAACATTTGGCAAAACTACGAATATTAGTGAGCGCGCTGTAATGGCTTGATGATACGACAGCGTTCGGATATTCACTGGTCACTTCGTGGGAGAACGGCGTCGCTTGCTTCACAGTACTCGAACTTTCTTTCACATTCGCCTCCTCCTCGCTTCTATTCTCTACCAATGGTTTAATACGCAAAATAGCCGCTACCAAAAACATTAACCCTGTGAATGCCAGGCATGCAGACATCAATTTGAATGTACGCTTCTCAAAGAAACTATCACTCAACTTTAGATCTTTTACATAAACCACCTGGGGTCTTATGTCGTAGATGTCATTTTCGACGAATAAACCACGCTCCAAATACGCCGCGGTCAACTCTTCAATTTCATGCGCTGCACAGGCGGTGGGCAAGCAGAGTCCGACGTGTATAATTTCCTCTGACATCATCTTGATCTCGACCTGCCAGGGTGAGTGATGACGCAGGTATACAACACGATAATCGACATCGAAGGGCGCGCGCTCCGTGATGATGGCAAAATGCATGATGCGCTGGTAATTCTTTGAGAGCGTAATGGCGACCGGATTCTTTACGGCACCACAAGCCTCACGGCTACCCAACCAAAAGTTCTGGCCAAAGACGAAACCTGAGGGTTTGGTGGCGGAAGCGTCCAGAACTGAAATGAATGAAGGGAGATGCATATGTTAGAAATTAGAATTAGATTTGCAGATTAAAAGTGCTCATAAGCTTCCTCGCTTCTCTTTTAAATGCGCAATTACCGAAGGGGAAAAGATTGCACTTCTAGTAATTTCTACCGATCTAGATCTTGACATATATAAGCTGTGATTTACTATCAAAGCCAGCTTTCAACATAAACCCAGAGTTTTTTGTCTTTCTCTTTTGATTTTCCCATTTTCATGTCCTAATTTGGGCCTTATAACCGCCGATTTTTGGCCGAACTCCTTCTCCGATTTATAGTTTTGCGTCTTTATAGAAGACCTTACAGTTTATACTAAGCCGCCTCGGCTGATGGTTTCTTACGAGGAGCCTTTATTTCATGTCCGGAATAGGGCGACCGCAATTGGAAAAGGAGGTTAATTTTTTATTTAAATTAACGCAATGCTAACCACTCGGCCACCGGGACGCCCTCCAAGTATACGAGTACTTAAATCACTGTGTACATCGGAGAAATAACCACAAGTCAGTTCAAAGCCCACACCAAGCTTATTACTGACTACTGAGCTGTGCTGGGCTCTTAAGAGCGATAAGCTTAAAGAGCCTAACAGAGATTAAAGTCGAGTTTCTTGTCTTGGTAAGGCACTTGAAAACTTGTTTGTTTCCTTGTCTAGACACTTACCAGTATCACAAATAGCTGCAAAACGCGTGTTCCTGTGTGTTACCACCATCACTTACACAACCGGCTTGGAGCCTTACACAACAGCTACCTCGTTCTCTTTGGAGAGCCAGAGCGCTCAATCAATTCCCTAAACAACTATGTGGTATGATTATTGCGCACCATCTCCCACACCGGAGGAATGATCACCCCACACCACATTCAGTTTTTCTCCTCCGAACCCCACCCAATAAATTCTATGATTTATAAATTCCCTATATAAAAGAGAAATGTTCATGCAGTACCATAACCTCCTTTAAGGGCCCGACGGCTCGATGATACATTCAAAAGTGTCATGCCTTCTTTTCCTATTCCTAATCATCCCCTCTCTTCTACATCCCAACCTTAGACAGCAGTCATCTGACACTACATAAAATCAATAATTCCTTTAACTGCACTACGTGTGAACTTTAAAATATGGATCAACTGTTTCCTTTTACCCTGGCATTTGAAGAATGCTCTCTCGCAGTAAAAAAAGGGAGCCGAGTAAGAAACCGCTTAGCCTTGGCCAGTTCTGATGTGAGCTACGCGACGAGCCTTCGTGCATGTTGACAGCCCCGCTTTGCTATAGAGACGTGACGGCGGGTCGATGTTAAAGTCTCGGAGGGCAAGCACTACTGAAACCATAGATGCTGCATGGTCTTTCGATCTGGTAGCAGCCAGATGCGTGGCGGATTTTTTGATTCTGTAACTATGTTTACAATCTGTTAGCGAAAAATAACTCTACTTTGGACAGCTGTCACAGTGAAGATTGAATTACCCGGTCAATGATAATATCTTTACCCAAATTGACTTTAAAATTTACGAGCAATAGTGACGGGGGCAAAGCTTATAAGTCATATTGTATTTATTATCCCTTGTTGCATCGTATTAATATGAATGGAAATCTAGAATTTGTTGAATAATCTACCTTCAGAGTCCCTCATCTATGACAAATCCCGCACTTAATTTGCGTTTCTTAAAAATGTCATCAGCAGTTTTACCTTCTTCGCCCATCTAAAGCATCTCTTTGATTGGAATCATTGAATGACATAAACCACTAAAGGATGTTGCCGTCTGGGTGCATGCCCCAAATCCCCACACCAAACCAATCGCCTACCGGTTAAAATTTACATTCAAACGAATGAAAACTCACCCTTCATGGCCCAAGGCTCTTTGCGTAGAATTCCATGTTGAATTTGTCTCATCTGACGACTGCAAGCCACATTCACATTACTGCCATTCGCCATACTCGCCACGCCAAATATAACCGAGGTACGTCGCAAATATTCATACACTTCAAAATCCTTATCACCCAAACCAATATCCAACTCATCCTCATACTCATCATAACCATAATTGGAGCTGGCGTTCAATGCCGCTGCGTATTCTACAGCCTCTGGAAATGCAATGTTAACACTTTTATTTCGGGTGTTGTATGTGTGCCCGGTTTGGCTGTGGGAATTGTTGTGCTGGGCATAATAAACGGAATTATTGTGTTGTTGCTGCCGCTGCTGTTGTTGTGCTGTTACATTACATTGCATGCAGGCGAGAGCGAGGCAAGTCAAAATGTAAAGGCTTTTAGGCGAACTCTGTGCTCTGGCAGCCATTTTATCTGAGTGTGAATTGTCCAGATGGAATCGTTCTGGAAGTAGAATAATAATAAATATTTTGCCAAAAATATGCTTACTCTAAAGACTATGTTCTTAGTTCTTTAATATTTACGCTCCCTATGAAGTCAAAATCGAAATGTTCTTTCGCACGCACTTCACTGTCGTTTTATTCGAGGACTCAACAAAAGATGTTTCTCTGACGCAAAGTACTTAGTGAACAATAACAGTGTTTTTTGTGCAAAATGCCATTAGGTATGTACTAGGGGTTCAACAAAAGTTCGGTGAGTGAAACAGTGAAGAGAAAAAAAAAAAAACTTTTGTATTTGTTCGTAATCTTTGTCATTTCTTATCTTTTCTCCATAGTTGCCATTGATTTCAATGCTTTTCTTAAGCCTATAGTTCCACTTTCTCTTCAAAACCTTGTTTTTTAAGCTAATCAAGTTCAGCATTAACCGCATTAATTATCTCGTCAATGCCATTAAAGACCTTTGCTTTGAATTTTTGGAAGCAACCAGAAATCACAAGTTGCTATATCCAGGGAATATGATGCTGGACATATTTCTTCGGTCCCAGAGATAGCACTAAAATTACTCGTTATTTCAGCAGTGTGAGATGTCGCGTTGTGATGATGTGAAAAGTAGCGCCGGAGATCCTCTTCCTCTCCGTTTTCCAACATATTTTTGAAAGCTTCTGATAAGCTTTCTTCGGTGGACCATTTTGTAGTTAACTTCTGACCCTTTTCTAGTGGAATGACACCCAGAATTTTAGATAGGGTGAAGTAAACTGCCATCATTACTTTTGCCGCTGATTTGTGTTGCTTAGACTTTACGGATGGGTTTGCTCCTGTCGGGTTCCATACCATGAGCTGCTGTTTGATTTATAAATCGTACTTATAGAACCAAGATTCGTCAGCGGTAACGACTTTACTTAATGTGACAGACTGACCATTTTCGAATTTACTTAGGTAAATTTGAGCGAAATGCACTCGAGCCTCTTTTTCTTTCTTTCCATTTTTTCTTCGTCCCATCTAAAATTCGTGGTACCCATCGAGCACAATTCTTCGTGTATTCTAGGTGATTACAGCCACGGCATTCAAGCCTAATTCATTAGCAATCATTTCTTGTGTCAATCGTGGGTTTTCGTCAATTTTGGTCTTCACCAGAGCTACAGTGACGTATTCAGTGGAAGATTTTGGTCGACCTTCTCGGTACTCGTCCTCTACGGAAAAATGTTCGGTCTGGAATCTTCGGAACCATTTAGAAATAGTCTTTAAAGACGTTGCAATCGTTCCATATTCACTGAATATTTGTATTGGTTGAGAATTACGCTGCAACCCGAAGAGAATCACATGGCGAATTTCTGTTTGCGTTGGTGGTGGAACTTCGTCTGACCTATTCTCAGCTATCTTCCATTTTCTCGTCTCCATTTTAGCCGTACGTTCTAAAATTTGAAACGAAGACTATTAGTAACTGCAAAGGAATTTTTAGTTTGAACAAAAACAAATTGAAAGTCACCGACTGACCGAACTTTTGTTGATCCCCTCGTATGTATATAGTATGAAGAGTTCCCGTGACAACCAAAATCGTTTGATAAATAGACGATTTGCAAGAAAAAACACTGTTATATTATATGAAAGCAAATGTCACATGATTTATGTACATACGTGTATATATATATATATATATATGTACGTGTATATATATATTTTTTTCTTTTAAAATGTCTCACTAGTCATTTGAGGTAATCTTGTTTGGGGGGCCGTGCCTATCGTTAGGTAATTAATATTTATAATACAATCGTTGATAGTTCCATGACTAAGCAATGATTGAATAGAAGAGTTTTAGGTACAGGGATATCCATTTTGTGGTTCCGAAATTAAACGTGATTAAAATGCATTAAGAAAATTTTTTTTTTCAAGAAATTCCTTTTTTATCTAACCCCACCTGCGTAGGGAGCAACAGACGGCCTCTTCCACTTATTTTACTATGGTCGGAGCCATAAATATCGATTATGTGCGTAAGCCCCGAGTGCCTTGTGGGCATTGTGAATGGTGAGCTGGCTTCAGTTGTTGTTCGAGCTGGACTTTATATAGAAGTAGTTGCAAGTCCAAGATAGTCCCAGTTTTTGAGAACGTCGAGAAATAGACACATTCGAGTCTTCGGCTACCATTTTACTTACGGTGACGATATTTCAGGTGGAATAAGTAACCCATTGATACACAGACCACTTACAGGACCGTATCCTTTGTATGAAATTTCCCATCACGAAATCGCAAAGTGGCTGCTGTATGCCCTCAATAGCTTCCACGGTGGCTTGTTGGTGTAGATCTTATATTTCACGTGGCCCCAAAAGAAAAAGTGGCAAGGTGTTACATCACAAGATCTTGGCGTCAAATTGAGATCTACTTTTTTCGAGCGATAACAAGGTCCGAAAACTGTTACATTGAATGATGATTTCGTTGTTTGTGTAGCACGTAGCGCCACATTGTAGAAAGTTAACTTAATCCAGATCAATCCCTCCGATTCCGAGCATGAAAAATCAATAATCACTTCTCGATGGCGCAATCCATTCACCGTAACTGTAGCGCCAGCCTCATTTTCGAAAGAGTCCATAAACCGCACCAAACAGTTAAACGTTGAAGATCTTAGTTTTTCCGAGCCCCAGACGCACAGGTTTTGCTTACTGCAGTAGTCATAAAGGTGGAAATAGGCCTCATAGTCAAGATAATTTTTTTATGAAATTCAAGTTAAATTTTATGAATTTCAAGGATCCAATCTGCAAAGACACGATCTTGTTGACGATCAAACCGTCCGAGAGATCTTGTATTAATAGAACTTTAAGACCCAAGTCTCTATGAAAAATATGGTTAGAAACGACGAGGATTGGAAAAACCTGGATTTTCTTCAACATTTTGGGTTACCGGTAAGTTTATAGTCCGGCAAGTTTCTTTACGTCTCTGCCAGGTTTTCAGCATTTTTATAGTGAATTTGAATTATTTCAAGGCTTTGTTGAAGTGTGTATTATTCCATTTTTATTACTGCTGTAGTTTCAGCTTTAACGGTGATATCAACCGAAAAATAACACCTCTTATGGGAAAACCTTTTAGTGGGATTTAACGATTGCTTAGCGATCCATTTTCATAAAATTGTTTGAGGTCGCGGCCGAGAAGAACAAGTTTGCGATTACTCAATCTCCTCAAATAAAGTCTAGAGTTCTAAAGTAAATATAATACTGTTTTTTTTTTTGTGCACATAGTAAACTATTTGCAAAGTTTCTGGACTGAAAATTGTGTTGAAGCAACAACAATTGTTTACAGTCTTTCTTAAAATGTCGTTGTCACACTCTGCTGTCGTGTCGCAGCCTAAGTGCGCAAAGCTTAAGATCCACTAAAAATTTAAAGAATTCTATTAATAACGACCTGTTATAAAAGAATACCTTTAAAAGAATAGTGACAGAAAGAGCAATACGAGTAAGTAATGAAAATCTAAACAAATCAAGGCATAAACATCCGTCAAGAATAAACATCCCTCCGATTGTATTTCTGTCGCGAAATAAAAGCTAGAGGTCCCACCATTTTTTGGAAAATCATCAACACACTTCTCAAATTGAAGAAGCAGCTCGAAATCGAAAATCGCTTCAGCGGCTTCAAATTTTATCAAATATCAGCGGCGAACAAGGAACGTTTCAACCAAGATTGAAAGAGCTTCGATTGAACTGTCATCAATCGCCGCACAGTGGGGTGCTTAAAATGGAGATCATATACGTTTGAATTGTCATCATCATCAACTTCATTATTATTGTCACTCTCCATTACGTTTATCTCTAAAGCTTCTTCCGATAAATCCTTAATTTTTTTGTTGTAATTTTCTTCTAGTAGATATAACGGGATCAGAGCTGATTAAAAGTCTGTTGAACATGACTTCCTTTGCTTTTCTTCTGTTGCATTTGCATGGAAAGTGTTCTCTACAAGTCTAAAAAGCTTCGTTTCAAGCTACCTGAGCTTCTTCTGATAATTGTCCGATTAGTAACAGAGCGTAAGATATTATCTCTGGTCCATGGATGAGATATTTGTGAGGTGTTGGAGGCATGTTATAGTCACGAAACATCTGTACTTCATCATCCTGGTCACTAGAAACAACTACGAGTGTTGTATGCATCATTTTAATCAAATTTATAGCATCTTTAGTAATTGCTCTAGCCCCTGATGCCCAGAGTATATTGAATTTATGGAGGGAACACTTCTCCAACCTGCTGAATAGTAGTGAAAACTGAGAATCCGGAGATGGTGAACCTGAAACCTTAATCGATGACAATGGAAAAGATGTTACATTACCTGACCACGAAGAAGTTCGAATAGCAATCGCCGGCTTCAAAAACAACAAAGCGGCGGGAGCTGACGGCCTACCGGCAGAACTATTCAAACATGGCGGTGAAGGGCTGACAAGATGGATGTATCACCCATAATCTGCGCCAATTACCGAGGAATTAACCTCCTTAATATCACTTATAAGGCCCGGTCGAGCGTATTGTGTGTATTCACCATGCGACAAATCTTGGAAAAGACCAGCGAAAAAAGGATCGACAGCCACCACCTCTTCGTCGATTTTAAAGCCGCCTTCGACAGCACGAAAAGAAGCTGCCTTTATGCCGCTATGTCTGAATTTGCTATCCCCGCAAAACTTATACGGCAGTGTAAGCTGACGCTAGACAACACCAAAAGCGCAGTCAGAGTTTGGAAGGACCTCTCCGAGCCGTTCGATACGAAGCGAGGTTTCAGGCAGGGTGACTCTTTGTCGTTAGATTTTTTCAATTTGATGCTGGAGAGAATAATAAGAGCTGCAGAGCTGAATAGAGTGTCTATAAGAGTGTACAACTACTGGTGTACGTCGATGATATTGACATTATTGGCCGCAACAACCGCGCCGTTAGCTCTGCTTTCTCCAGGCTTGATAAAGAAGCGAGGCGAATGGATCTGGTAGTGAACAAGGACAAGACGAAATAACTCGTGTCATCAAATAAACAGTCAACGCAT